AATGGTACTTTAGTTTAAAAAGAAAAATTGGAACTTTCTCCAAAAATGACTGCATATCAATGTGCCCTCATACAGAGTTGTATATACTATATAAGGGTTGTATTAAATCAAAATGCAATACAGTATCTACTTTTAGATACTGTATTGCAATATTTAGTGTATTACCATGGTCAAACTAAGTTTTTAGTTCTATGCATCTCAACAAAAATAAATGATCAGTTACTGTGGAGAACTTTAAATATGTCCAGTCCTCTCATACTTTTGTTCCTTAACTGAATGGAAATCAGAAAGCAGATATGCATTATTTCTGAAACCGATTTTGCGTTTAAGCAACATCCTGTACATTTCTGTACTGAACTCTGGGCTTGATCTCAGTGATAAAAACTAAGGGAGGAAGTCGTTCCAGACACTGAGAAATCTCGGCTTCCTTTTTGTTTACTGGAACAATGCTGCAGCCCAAACACAACCCACTGGGCCACTGAACCAGACAACACAGAGAACAGCAGCTAAAAATGGCATAAGGCCTTGATGTTATTAATAATCACTATAAAACCAGTACCAGAGGTGGGCAAACCAGATCCTTCACTGCCATGATCCACAATAAAATACATTTAAAACTGCATCTGTTAAACAGTAACTTTAATGAGGCAATCTGGGAATTTGGATATTTACTTGCAACAACAACCAAACGCTTTCGCATTAAGGACTGCTGAATAACTGGCTAATTCTGGTTTCTGTGAATAAAGTAAAGCAATATGGTACTTTTTTGGATTTATTACCAGATTGTTGAAACTCATTTTAAGGGTTAACTTTAAATTCAACCAGGTTGTGATTCTCCAGAACTATAAATAATGGTCACTATTACCTATAGGTAAATAAGACAAAGATTTATTTAATATTGTTTGGTTAGTTATACTTAATTACATTTGGTATTTAATGTCTGTCGTTACATCATTAGAATTTCCAGATTAATCAACAGAGATGTCAAATGCAGGTGCTTCCACACTACTGCTTCAGTTCTCTGGGTCACAGGTTCTTTTTGCTACAGTATATAGTCCTACTCCATCAGGTACAGTCCCACAGTCACCTAGGGACATGCCCTGAGCTCGCCCCCACAGGTCCTGAGAGCTGAACATGTGCTCTGTGTGTGCAACTCTGCCAACCCCCACTGGAGAGTGCAGTGTGCAGCATGTTTCTTTTACTGCTGGAAATCCAGTCACCTCCTGCCAACCAGGGTTTATCTTAAAAGCCTGGTTTAAGTGAGCTTTCATTAATGAGGCCTGCTTTTTAAGAGAAGATGCTGCCGTGCTTAAATGTCTAAAATAATACAATAGAACTGAAAATGAGACCTGTAGGAACTGAAAGAACAGTATACCTGTATGCCCTGACATGAAGGAAGCTGCAAGGTGACTTGTATGGGTGGCTGTCAGCAGTTAAATAAAGGGTACATTCCCACTGCAGAGTCTCTTTCTGAAAAAGTGTCTGAAATTATTCATGTCTTTAGCTATTTTCCACATTTGACGTTTTCAAAGTAGTTACTGTGTGGTTACATTACATTTGCACTGTAAGTGTCCACCTAACCCACCTGAGTCATGGCACAGACAACTAAATTATAAAACTCCCCTTCTGTGATTAGCTTTAAGACGTCCATTACTGCAGGCTAAGCAGGAACCACATTCATTTCACCTTTATACATGACAATGATTGGAAACAGCTTTTCAGAAGGAAGGTATTGAAAGTTTTGCTGAAACCTAAAGTGTTTTGAGGTGTTAGAAATCCAATACTTTGAACATGTTGATTTTGTTTTTTCCAAAAGAACTACCGAACTCACACAGAGGTTAAAGAAGGAAAAAGCACTAGCGTTGTCATTCCCTGAACATGTAAGAGACTGTGAAGCAGCAGACTTTAAATGTTTCAGGTTTCAGTCAAGTGATAACAGTACTGCACAGCGGGGTTCATTACAGACTAATCATTAAACATTATATAAATGCTGACATCATCTCCGGACCCGGCTCACAAGTCTTTATTGCATCTCTATATCATGACATTACCTGCACTGTGCTGCAGAACTTGCTTGAAAGTGTAAAGATGATCCAGCAGGGCTTTAGAGCAATGCTTTAATGTGCGGATGAGACCAAGATAACATTTACCAAAGTGAACTGCGTATGTTCCAGTGAATACTAGCTCCACTGTGAAGCATGCTAGAGGCTAAACCACGGCCTGGGCAAGCATGGCCCCCTCTGCAACTGCTTGACGTGTCTAGAAGGATGGTGTCAGTAATGACAGCAGCACCAGAATGAGTTCTGAAGTTTACTGAAAGATTCTATGTTTTACCAGAACTGGCCCTGGTGTGAGTGTTGTTTGTGTCTGTGTGTGCCCTAAAATGGACTGCTGCCCTTCCAGGGTGTATTCTGCCTTGCTTGTGAAGATGAGCTCTGACTCCCCTGTGAATAGTGGCTGCACTAATACTTTTGGAAGGCACTATATATTATATTGTGTGTTTAAGCCTCCTGGTTGTGTCTAAGTGGTTCTCAGCCCTGGTCTTGGGGGACCCCTATGTCCTTTGGTTTTTGTTCTAGACGAGTTCTTAACACAACCTAAATTATTTCACTTTTCTAAAGGAGCCCAAAGTTTTACAGTTGCTTTCTGTCCTTGTAAAGCCGAATGGTTTTGTAATTGCTTTCAACTAATACTTTGTGGAAGCACCTTTTGTATTTATTACAGTAGTAAGTCTTTGTGAATAAGTCTCTATCAACTTAGCAATTTTATTCCACTCTTCCTTGCAAAAAAGTTCAAGCTCATATACTGGCTTCTTGTGCCAGCTACTACTGAAAATGACTAGTTTTCATTAGAAAACACATCAACTATTTAATTTTAGGAATTGATGTATAGGTGTTTGATCCACAGCAGTACATCGGCAATATCAAAATGAATCTCAAATTCCTGTCTGTGCATCCCTAATTGAGAAAAGCAGAGCAGACACTTGTGGGGTAAGCAGATAAAATACGTAGGGCATAAACAGATCTGTTTTGTTACACATAGTTTTGTGCAATTTAACTCTGGTACTTCACTTTAAAAGATTTGAGTTCTGGTAAGTGTACAACCTGAGTGCCAATTTGTTTTATTGCTTCTTCACGATACTGAAACAGCTTGGATTTCCTTTTAAGGAGCAGAATAATTGTATGAGATCAATAAGCATCCAAAATGCTTAAGTCTCAATTCCAGGAACAAGAAAGTCAGAAATGACTTACCAAAACCCCCTCCAGCCTTGAGGTTTTGGACACAGTTCAGAATATTACAGTAACAGCAAAACTGACAGTCTGGAAATAATATGATTCAGGTGGCTCCTTTTATTTACTTTAAGCATTGTAGAAACATTTATCAATTCTTTAGGGAAGAATAACCATCTTGTTCTTGCTCAAATTATTCTCTTGAAAAGAACATTTTTTTATGGTCTTAATTACTATTTTACCTCTGTTGCTGTTCAAGTAGCTTCAAGTTGCTCCATTCTAGTGAATTAAACAAATTAAAACTGATTTGCAGGATTGGAAAGGTTCCTACTCATGACTTCATGACCCCAACTCAATACATAGCACTTCCTTTATTTTAAGAAACCCTCATCTGCATTCATTTACAACATGAACATTTAAAACAGAAACATAGTTTATTTTTTGAGCAGTTCAATTTTAAATCAGGAGGAAGTATGAAGGTTTTTAAAGACTGATAGCTTCTCACCAAGATTTACATTCTCACAATGACAAAAATTAGTTCAATAAATGCAGAAAGTTTAAAGGATTCATTTTTAAAATTGTCCCCATGAATCATGTAGTCATATCGGCAGCCCTTAAACTATCACAGCCAGGAGACTGAGGACAAAATTTCCATGGGAACTGGAAGTAATTGTTATCAAACAGTCTGGCTGATAACCGGTTTTGCAGGCAATAGGAAAGATGGTAAATCCTGAGATAAACAGGTTCTTTATTCCTTGGGGAATAGAATTGCAATATGAGAGCATTTGAAATTTTGATCTTAGTAGCATGTAAGTCAACAAGTTTGTTACCATGCATTACCTTTAATATGCCATATAAGAAACAATGCATAAGCTAAGTATGTTGGTAATTTTTAACATTGTCCTTTCTCTTCGCATTTAACATCAAAATGTTATGCTGATTAATTCACCAGGTAAAGTCAAAAACTGGCAGATTTTATAGTATTTTAACACAAGCCTAGTGGCATTCAATGTACCCCAATCAACTCCATGGACACTGTGCACCTGACATTGATCTGCTACAACAAAACTTGTCATGTCATGAAAGCCTGTTCAGAAATCTGAGAGCACAGATGTGAGGTTCAGCTTATGCACTCTGCTAGATGTTACTAAAAAAGTATTCCATGAAGGAAAAAAAGACACCATCCAGTTGTCTTCTTTAGCAGGACCTTTAAAGTGCAAATTAGGACTCAACTTAGCTCAACTAGGACTTTCCCCTACAGAAATGTGCTACTATCTCATAAATGTTACAATATGTCATCTAGAAAAGAATACATTGTACAGAATAAGTTTCAAAACAATTTTTTTATATATTAGTTACATGCATAAAGAAAGAATTGAACATTTTTTTAAGGATGATTACTACTGATAATTTTGTATGTAAGGTCACAAGCTACATAATATCAGAATCAAACTGGATATGTTTACTGGCCTGTTGTGTGGTGGATATGTATTGATCACAGATATCTGTCTTAGCAGGACAGAACTTATTTTCTTTTTAAACACTTATCAGTGTAGGTAAAATGCTGAGAAACTAATAATAATATAAGGCTTCATCTTCATTTTTCTAAATTCATCGTCCACTATTTTCCTGTCAAAACAAATCAAAGTCAACTGAAGCAGGCATTTCTGAGCTTTAAACTGGAAGCACTAATTAGAATCCTCAGCTGAAAGAAAATATGAGCAAGGTTTTCAGAGTGTCATCAGCAGTTTTCTAAAAATCATGGCCTACCTTGTCTTCCATCCTGTTCAGTCTTGAACCAATTGTGTTAGTGCCTCGATCTTTATTCTTGTCTGAAAAATAAATATGCAATTTTTGATATTTATTAAAAAGATGTTAGAGGGAACTGTACATAGTAATAACAAAAAGGAGATAACAGCGATTTCCTATTTTAAATACTAGTGCATAGTCCACATTCACATCTTATTAATAAAAGTATTATCTTAACTGGCACTAAGATCCATTATTTCTGTTATGAACAATAACCATATCGTGTGTGGTTACCAATTATCATATATGCACATTAAACTGTGAGAACATGTCAAAATCCAGAATGAGATTCTGTTGCTTTTCTTGTTTAAATGCAAGAATTATCTATATCATATAAATATAAATATAATCTCCAGAAGTATTCTTCTGGAGAAGTAGAAGAATACTTTCTCTACAAGGGAGAAAAGACCAGTTCGGAAGTAGTAGTCTTTGGGAAATGTAGTCAAATGTACTAACTTGGATCATTTATACAAATCACTTGTATAAAGAAATGAGTGTACAAACAAAAATAAGTATACAGTACATCTGACCCATCTGTGTATCTGTATTCATTTGCTATCCTTAAAACAGTTCCCTTCCATGAGACCCAATGAGATCATGCTTTCTGCAACTCTGAACAGCAGGTGATGAAGAGAGAAAAGCTGCAACACTTGCTTTGGATAAAGTGATAAATTGCAGGATACTTCTGGTCATGTGCTGCAGAATCTGGTCATGATAGTCTCTCACTTTGCTCCCAGTTAATTTATCAACCACCTAAGAGGGAAATCCATAGCTCTTGGGTGTTTTCTGACCAATTTGGATAGCGGGCACAAGAGACAGCAGTCAGCCACGCTTTTGGAATATTGCATGTTGTTTTGCAAATTCCAGCATTTGAACACTTTTAGCCACATGCTGAAAGGACTGATGTCATGGCATTGACACGGAAAGATCTCGCTGCGGCGCGACTCATTTCCTGCCAAGAGTAAACAAGAAGAAAGCCTGGCCATGAACCTGCGTGTTGTTTGCCAGCTCCAGGCGACAATCTGCAAACTGTCAAAGCAATGACAGGTGAGTCTGATGACTTCACTTACAGACACAAACTGAACACACCCAACTGCATTCATCAAGAAACCCATTTCACTCCAGAGCTCAGCCTTTTGATAGACCTGGCTTAATGCATTTATAAAACTTTTAAATTATACACATGCTACTTATGAAACAGACTTGCATTTCACCCAATGCAGGAAAGGCCACACACTCCATCACCCTAGAATGCTACTTTGTAGTTATAGCTTTCACAGGTAATTGTGTGCATTTCCTATAAGGACCAAATTAAAACTCGAGTGATGTTTTTTTTATGGAAGCCGCTCTATTAGAATCGCCGAACATTACGTACATGTGCAGTTTTAAAGAACTTGTGTTGTGCTGATTCAAGTGCAGGTAGAGCTTGGGAGTGTATACTTGAAGACAGACCCTGCTCCAGAAGGAACCCTACTGTTGCTGCACTTTAAGAGGCTGTGTCATAGAGCCATACATTCTAGTCCGACTGCAATACAACTGAGTTCCAAGGAGGTTCTATGAGCTTCAAGGCAAAGCCAATCAAGAAAATAATAGGCGTAGCTTTCCAGTGTCTCAAGTGGGCATGTAACATTTTGCAAGGCTCATACTTGTATTGTATTGATCTCCACCTACTTCCATTACCCTGGTGCACCTCTAATTCCCTCCCTGTTGGGACTGGTCTGACCATGCTTCTCCACTGTCAGGATAGCTGGGCACATGGGACATCCCAATCCCTCCTCCACCCATACCGCAATGCTATATTCAAGCATGTGGTTGTGAGCCCGTGGGACACAATGCTGTTTAAATGGTCTTTTATACTGAGCGAGAAGAAGTGTTGCAACAATGAACACAATCTAGGTGATGCACAGGGATTTATGTGCAATGTTAAAGACACAGCAGGGGCATCTTTCCAGCTAGTCTCAGATTAAGCCTGTGCAATGTAGAGAAATGCTCACAAACGACTTGAACCAGCTCCTGAAACAAGCTGCCTCAAGGTTTGCTTAATAAAAATAATAAAAAATGCCTTTATAATGCTATACAGTATGTTTCTTTTAATGGGCTGCACTGCCAAATATACTCACCCCCATCACTCCACCCACCATCAACATCTAGATTTGCTGTGATTTTTGGAAAAGGGAACAGTTTGAAAGTAACAAAGAACTGGCAAAAACGGTTCCAGAGTTCAAACAAAGGGAAGAATCTAAAAGTAAGAGGAACTGGGCTCTGAGTGGTGGATATTTCATTACTTGGACAATTTAAAACAAAAAATAAAGAATTTAAGGCCATAAAATCCCATCTTCCAGCTTCTTACAGGGAGGACTAGTGTTGGATTAATGCTCTTATTTTCTCCAGAATTAACCATGAAACACAAGCTAGAGGGCACACATGGGAGCTAACTGGATGGGCATTGAGAAGTGAGAATGAGGAGGTACATCTTCACCCAAAGGGCTGTGGGAGTGTTGAACCAGCAAACCAGCCTTGTTGTTGGAGCTGATATCCGGCTTCTCACAAGTTTCAGCTAGATGAGTCCTTGGATTGCCAAATGTGCCAGCTGGGCTGAACTGTCTACTATCATTTTCTTTCCCAGGCATCTCAATGGAAAAACTAGTCAGATCAGAAAATGCAGCTTCTTCACTGACATTTCATTTGCAAAGACTGTTTGTGTCCGTCCAGGAACAGTTATTTTTCTTACTGGACCACATAGAACCAATCTTTTTTCAAGGAACAATATTTGGAAAAGTGCATTATTGTATTAATATTGTGGAAAAAACATTAAGGCATTAGGGATAATTAAATTTTTATTTTTGAAAGTGTTGTAACTGTAATACTTTTAAAAACGTAACTGCACCAATTGACAATCGATCGAGCAATTTTCCCCAAATTTCAGGAGAAGGAGGCCAAATTAATGCCGTAATGTCACAAATGTGCTATATACCGTATAAATCAGACTGGGAAAACTCTGAACAAGAAAATGCTATCAGATGAAATTACTCTGAATCCTATGCCAAGACACCCTGCTGGGCTTGCATATGGTGGTCATCATCAACAAATGTTCTCATAACCTGGAAATCATTTAGATGCCATTACCAAATAGAATATTAGATTTGTGACCACATGATTCTTATGAATTTGTACAGAAAAGGTCTTAATTTGTATAAGTTTATGTGATATTTGGAATGATAAGACAGATCCAAGAGGGCTGTAGCACAACATGATATTGACACAATGAGACACATGGCATTCTGGTCAAGCTGTTTGTAAACAGGCAATATGTCTTGCATTTTAACCTTATTATTATTATTCAGAATGTTTAAAAAATGTATGAATCTGACCTTTCCATTGGCTATTAAGTGAACATTGTTGACAAATATAGACTCCATAAAATTAGGAAAACCAGATGAGGCACAAGCAGGTTCTTTTAAGAAGTATTTTATATGCAAGTTTCCGCTTTCCATTAGTTTCTGTTCCTGAATGGAAATGTAATGGTGTAATTTTATTGCCTTTTTGTAAACAGCAAAATGATAATGTTGATAGCCCCGTGTCACATTACAGAAATCAGAAATAAAATGTTCTGCACATTTTGAGAGATCTTAAATCACTTCTTTCCATAATCTGTACAGAAAACTGACGCGTGTGAGTACTGATGTTACTTTATTGTAACATTAAGCATTAACAGCTTCTCTTGCAAATGGTTAACAAAACATTAAAATTGTAACAGGCCTCCTCTGTATATTTCACTTGTCCTGCACCGATTAGGCAACTTGTGCCTGCAGAAGCAGTTTGGATCTGGGGTCCAACCAGGGTATCATGATCAGGAGAGACTATTTATATTTTCATAAAAAGCAGAAACCAGCCTTTACTTCTGTATCTAGGACAGTTATGCAAATCAGAAGCAGATACATTTTCTATACAAAATTTTGTCATATAATCCAAAGCTACTATCTTATAACGCTCCCTTACATTTTCAGTGGCTATTTGACTATGGCAGTCTTCACCTCCATAATTTGGAGTTTCCAGGATTTTCCACCTGTTGACTATGACCAATTATCTTAACAAAAGTGATGGGGTTTCACCCTGTTTGGTCAATAACTTCCCAAACTGTGATTGAAGTGTGATTGAAATGGCATGTTCACCTTCATGTGTCCAACACTGAACCATCGGAAAAACAAACTACCTAAGGCTGAGTAATCTGGCAATGTTTTCTGCTGAAAAATAAACACTGTTCACCTTACCTGAACTGGACTGAAATAGTGTCAGTTTCCCCATGGACTGATCCAGTCTGTTAAAAAAAAAATCAATGAAATATTTAGTTACAATTTAATCCTTCAATTTAAACTCTTCAAATAACAGTTAAGTAGATGCCTTCAATTAACTCTGAAGTTCCTTCAGCTAATGTTTTCCACAGACAAAAATGTATTTGTCAGATTTGACAAGAAGCCAGGGGAAACTGATTTTATCCAGAGTAACAAAAAATATTGAATTGTTTTGCTTTTTTTACTTTTCATTATTCAGTCATGTATCGGAGATGTGTCACATGTAGCATATAACGTGGTATTCATCACAAAAAAAAACTCTCCACTTTGAGGTTAAGGCAGCATGGTGGCGCAGTGTTCAGCATTCCTGTCTCATGGTGCTGGAGACCTGGGTTAAATTCCTGGGCCGCTCTCTGCATTTGTATGTTCTCCCCATGTTAAGACTGGTTTCCACCAGGTTCTCTGGTTTCCTCCCACAGTCAGAAAAATATACTGATAAGTGAGTGTATGTGTGCTATGTGTGTGCCCTGATGGCCATCAGCTCCCCTGAGACCGCTTTGGGTAAAGCTTTTAGAAAATGGATGGATGAATTATTAATGTTGGTCAGTAGTGCGGAGCAGTGGTTAGGGTTCTGGACTTATAACTGGTAGTTATGAATAAAATACCCAGCTGTTTCAATGAGTGCAAATGCAAGTCAGCCAAATAAATTAATAAGAATATTGAAAACTAAAATTAAATAGCATGGCTTAACATCAACTCTGGCTCTCAACCACTTTCAGTTATATTTCTGCATGTATCCCTTTGCCTTTTTTTAAGCAAAGCTCTGGGCTAATATTGCAAATTACTCTCATCAGTCCCTTAACATCAAAGCTTGTTTTTAACTAGAATTACATCAAATTCACCAAAACATCGTCACAACAAAAGGAAGCAAAAAGCACGTTCAATTTAACTGAGTAACTTCAGGGCTGAACCCCTCTATTGACATGTAACAGTAACTCCACACTAGTATTTCCTCATATATCTTTAACTGCTCAAAGGTGTTGAAGTCCTTTGTAAGTACAGAGTGATCTCGTGTGTCAGCGCTAAGCCTAGAACAAAAAGGTACAACATTGTAATTAATCCAGCAGCGATAACTACAACAGTGATAGCTTGAATTGAGTCATTTGAATTGAGTTCTTCTTATTTGGAAAAGGAAATAACTTGAAAAAAGCATTATTCTCTGGTTAAAGTCTAGTTTAAATAAGGTCTTGCATCAATAACACTACAGAAACCTACACTGTTCCACAAAAATGTCACACTGAGAGGTTTCTCTCATCTTCTTCCATAGACAAATTTCTTACAGTCCTTATAACTCACGAAATGCAAATGTATGACTTAGTTTACATGTCAATTATGACTGCATTAAGGATATAATGATTGTTTTTCAGGCATTTTATTTCGTCTTCCTTGGCAGACAAATATATTTCCTTGAAAGTCTTTTTTTCCTCCTTTGTTCTTAATGTGACATTGACCATGAAATATGCTTTGGGTTATAGGCTGTATTTGAACCGCTAAACCTGCACTGACTTGATTCCTATTATTTCTAATTAGTGTTTATTTAAAAAAAAAACAAAGAGCATCCCTCAAACTCAGGCACCACAGATGTATATATATTTGTGTTTAACCAGAAGGAATTTCCACATCACAGTTAAAAAGGATTCACTGGCAAAACAAAATTTGCCTTCACTGAAGAATGCCTTCATTTGCAAGAATGTTTTACACAATAGAATGCAATCTCTTACTACTCTTACATAAATAGAACTGCAGGACGGTGATGTCATCTGCTAGATCTATGGGACCAAAGCAGTGCTGAAGCTATGAAAAGGCAATTCAGTCTTTTAACAGGCACACCATAATCCCCAGGTACCTCCACAGGACAGGGAAGAGAAACACATGATGGGCAGCTCTAGTGATTCTGCCTTCACTGGGTATATGGTCACAGTGCCAACTGAAACAGAAATGTTGACAATGCCAACTAATGAAAGAAGGGGTACATGGCAGGTATTCTGGGCCTCACGGACTGCTGCTAGTGGGCTGGTGCACTGAAACTGGCAGAATACGAACAAGATTAATAAAAAACATCAGGGCAGAAACAGGCTGCTCGGTGCATTAGCGCTCACCCTTTCCTGGCCCAGTACCTCCATGATCATCAGCCCAGTCCACTGTTCCACAGACTAATCACTCTGAGGATGAAGAAATCCTAAAATCAATGCACAACTGACTTCAAAAACCAAGATTGTTTCATTGCATTGTATTTAGCGAACTGAAACCGAAGCAGACACTAGAGTCAAGCTTATGTCATTTTTCAGACAAGTTCAATATCACCTCCAATTAGTCATTATCAAAGACTGAAAAGGCCAAGTGCCTACCCACTGTTCTTGGATCTATTTCTTTTAAGACTAGTCCTATCAAATGGATATTGGATATAAAGGAATGTTGGGAACATTTTCAATATTTTAATGGGTGATTTGACACTTAAAGAAAACAATCAAATTTATTTCTCCAAGTTAAACGAAAGCAAAGTGCCAAAGTTTTTTTTTTCCTACAGTGTTATCCAAAAATAAGTCCTAGATTTTTCCCTTAACCACAACGGGATATGTCCCATCATTATTTACTGTCGCCCTCTGTATGTGTGTTAGGAGATACTTCACAGCTCAGCCTGGACGTGACATGCAAAGACTTCCCTGTCATGATTTATCCACACATTTCAGAATCTGTTCTAGCCTCTCTGTGCTATTACTACTTCTGATCCTACGGATATGTCTGTGTTCTGTTTCAGAAACCACATCAGAACTCCTTGTATTAAAGAATGTGTTTGCAATCAAGTTCAGCAATGCAAGAGGAAACTTAATATACATATATTTTAGGAAGGCCTTCACTGAAGAATTTATTTCACCAGTCACATCATTAACAGCCTTTGTGAAACATAGTACCTTTACACACAAAGGTCTAAATCTCAAAGGATATCACATTTTAACAGACATGAGACTCTATTTTTGGATTCTGATCTACACTTGTACTCGTTGAAATATATTTTTTTAATTAACTGTTTTATTTCCTTTAAGTCTGCCTGTTTTTTCATCCTGATATTATTGCCAATACAGTAGCAATGCTACTAGATCTGAAGTTTGTTGAGGCAAAAGAATTGTAATGAAAAAAGGATATTCAGAAATAAACCCAGCTTGTTGTATGACTGTAACTAAATTTGGTAACAGCAAACACACCTAAACAACCTCTTTTGCTGTGTGATTACAGTTTTTTTCTAGCAAAATAAATGAAAATGAGGTATGACACTATCAGTGCAACAAAATCAGTTTCTGCAATTACTGAAGACTGTAAGAGACCAGAATAAACTCCTGTACTTTAATGAAATAAGAAGACATTGATTATCAAATGTATTACCACATATACAGTACAACATCATGGACTGGGCTAAATAGTTGTAAAGTAATAAAAGTTGTTCTCCCACACATATTATGGGAAAAGAAGGAATAAGAAGTTGATAAGATATGCTTTGCATTTCATGTTAATAAAAAAAGACATAACCTCAATAAGAGTTACATACTCTGTATCACAAAACCACACTATTTCTCACCTCATTACTGACATAAGTTTATTTACCAGCAAAGAAACAAAACAGCAAATTGCAAGGAAACGAACTGTTGTCACAGCAAGTAAAAAAAGATAACAACAAGAGTTCTAAAAGAGTAGTAAAAGGAAATGGATTCTAATGAAAGACTTGTGAGAAAACTGGTAGACAACTTGCCAGAAAAATAAACAGGCTGATGCATTGCTTGGGAATCCATCACCACTGGACTAAAGGCCAAGTCCAGCTGAAGACCCAGACAACCAGTTCACAAGAGAACACATTTTGGCTAGACCAATCCACAGCTGAGACAGATCCATAGAAAGGCGCTTAGTTCAGATGGAGACAAAATGAAGCAGACCTACAATGACAAGTTCATTGAACCTACTGTCAAACAAGCTGGCATTTCCATAAGACCCCTGGGGCTACTTTTCCTTATCAGGGGCTGAAAACCTTGATAGGTCTGAAGGAAATATGAATGTCGTGAAGCACCGTAGCACATTACTGACTTAATTGTTTCCTAGCGCTCAAAGACAATGCTTGGCTGCCACCTGACACACATAGCAAACTGAAGGAAACAGCCCCAAAATAAGACTTCTCTGTCAGTTCGTACTGTTTTCAAGGGCAAGGTCCAGGAGCTTCTAGCATAGCTTAAAAAGTATTAAGCATTTTGTGAGCTACTGTGTCGTCGGAGACACGTGGTTTAGTCTTGGCGTGTGAGCCTGTGGGACTGGCACCCTAATGAGCAAGAGGAGGACTCAACAACTCCAACGCCAGGGGGAGAGAGGAAAGGGGCTTCTGCATGGACAGGAATCTTGGAGGAGGGAGCTTTGCAAAGAAGGAAAATGGGGCTTGCTATCAGATCCTTGTTTATATTTCTGAGAAAGTAGTCAATGTTGGGCAGCACACTGGCACTGTGGGTAGCACTGCTGGGGCTCTGGGGTCAGTTCCTGAGATGCTATCTGTGTGGAGTTCTGTCCGTTCCCCCCATGGTTGTGTGGGTTTTGCCTGGGTGCTCCTGTTTCCTCCCAAAGTCAGAAGTCATATTGGTAGGTTGATTTGGCTTCTGCAGAAATTGTGTGTGTGTGTGTGTGTGTGTGGTCTGTGTGTCTGTGATCCCTGCTATGGTCTGGCATCCCATCCAGGGTGTATCCCACCCATTCCTTGCTGGGATAAGCTCCCACTTACCTGTTACCCTGTACTAGATAAAGCATTTAGAAAATGAATGAACGGATGGAAGTAAGCAATGGGTTTGTCTCTCCCCCATCCTTCATTTAGAGCCCTATAAGTTAATTGTGCATTTACTGCCATAGTTCGGTACTTGTTTTACACTGTGGAAGAGAACTAAGTTCATTTAGGACCCAGTGAGGAAGCTGCAGAGCTCCACAGAGCTATTCTGCACAATTCCTTGCTGCAAAGGGCTTTTCTGCTCTGCAAAACATAAGCCTGCAGAAGCCTCTTAATGAAGCAGGCAAGTCTGCTTTGAATAAGAGGCTTGAGCGTAATTGATTTCAGACAAGTACAGCAGTTTACTGGTATACCGATGTAAATTCTTGTCATGTCTGCTAAAATAAGGTTTATGGACACTTGTCCACAGAGGGACAGCTCTGTTTGTGACTTACAGTACTGGTAACTGAAACGGTAAAATTGTGATTCCATGTCAGAAGCATTGTTACCTAACAGAGGGGTGAGAACCTGTTGTATTTTAATTCACATCAGTCCGAGAACATCAAATGTTCTGCTTGGATTGATCACAGACATCTCTGCAGCAATTGTGGGTCTCTCTAAAAATGCAGTAGTTCCAGCATTCTAGCACAGAACGTTTTAATTTAAGATCAATGATAAGTAAGCCTGCAAGCACAATTAGCAATCCAGTCACTCCTTATCCCAAGATAGATCCAACACTTCTAGGCCCACAAAGGACAATGCAAGGAACATATTCTAGGCCAGACTGCAGGCCTTAAATCAATGCAGGAGTGTCTACAAGTGGTAGTGTGACATAAAGGCTACGACACCAGCTGCTTTTGTGCTTTTATCTCTTGCAGTCGGCGTACGATGTCAACTGCCATCGTGGGCCAAGTGCGAAAGTAAACCTTAAAGAGTCGGAATTACTCAGCTCAAACACCCATTACAAGACAGCCATCTGTAACTGTGAGGACACGGGAATAGTTCAGAATAATGGAGAGCATGACAATGACATGACCTCTTATTTTCTGGTTTTATCCAAACTTCCTGAATAATTACCTTCGCTGGAGCTCCTTGATGCGCACCATCAGGTTGAGGTGACCTTGGGAGTACTGCTCTATAACGTCTCGCACATCGTAGGGCTTTCTGGCTTGCTGGAGGAACACAAAACAAGAGTCATTCAACAGTTTGCAGGCTGGAGTCTATCAAGAAGGAAGACTTGGCAGGCACAGCCGTGATTTATTACGCTGCTTTATTGATCATATCTGTAATCTGAGAATGTCACTAGCAGAACCTGTATTTTATCACCCCTATTTTTTCTTTTTTTTTCTTTTCTTTTGTTGATTCCTTCAAACAAACAGGCTCACACTCTACAACATAAATGCAGAGTAGAAGTATGCAAAATGGTACATAGTACAATACAGTACTGGTACAGAACAGCTGCTTCACAACACTCAAAGAGTCAAAGCTGTGATGCAGTGAAAAATAACTTTTGACAAAGCCAAGAGAGAAACTTATAGCTGCTAGTACAAAATAATTAATAAAAGAGTTAAGCAAAAGGTGCTTGTTATGTGCATTTGCCAGAAGTCAGAACAAACTGCTTAAAGTAACCTTTTTCTCTACTGTCACTTCCTAAGAGATGTAGGACTTTTTCATATCCAGAATTCTGAGACCTCATCATCTCTTATTCATTCCACTTAAAAACCCTTTTCTCCCCCTATGTAATCCAATCCCTGCTAGATAGCAGCCCTTCCCTGAGCCTCGACATGTTTTGATTTCTATAATGATTAGAACATTACCAGAGATACACATCTAAGTGAATTAGAAGGAATTTTATGCGCTGAAGACAAGAAAAACATTATTTCCATGCAAGCTTCATTGAGATTAGGGAATGAGCCTGTTCAGAAAAATGGGTTTTGCTCACAGCTGGACATGCCTGTGACTGCAAAACAGAAGCAGAAAAAAAAACAGAGACTGGAATTTACCTAGCGACCAGTAAATGTTCAGATTTAATAGAGGATGCAAGACAAGTGCATATTTTTAAATAGAAATGTATGGTTCTCTGATTACATTTCAATCTGAAATCCCAAATGTTAAATTCAATCGGGATGCTTCAATGTATTTAAGCTCATGTACAAATCTGAGCTCTGAACTGCTTAGGTATTCTGATTATTTGATTAATCAGCTATACTTTTCACTTCTTTTCAGGGCTCAAAATGTTTCAGAAATATGGTACCATGCTTATCTTTTCAATCATCTGAGTATAAGACCTTAACATGTTAAACATCACTATCAGATCTAACAAGGTGATTAAGTGAACTGAGAAGCTTAAGACAGAAGTGAAATCTGTAGGAGCTGAATTTGAGACTCCTGCATCAAATCAAGGTGTCAGCACTTTTCCACAGAGAAACATATTTGTAGAGGACTGAGTACACCTAGGGGTGGCATGGTGGTGCGGTGGTGAGCAGGGCTGGGTCCTGGGCCCAGTTCCAGGGGTGCTATCTGGGCGACGCTTGTATGATCCCCTGGAGTTTCCTCCAGGTTTCTCCCAAAGCCCAAACACATACTGGGTTAACTGGCCTCTAGTATGAGAATGTGTGTGTTTGTCTGCCTTGTGATAGACTGTTGTCACATCCTGCTTTGCACCCATTGATTGCTTGATAGGCAGATCTTGGTAAGCAAAGGCAAAGCTAGAAAATCCTTTGCTATTCTGGTACGTTTGTCATATTACAATGTGTTAATGACAAATGCTGGTATAAAAAATACTTGTGTTATTTAAAACAAAACTCAATTGGAAACTGTTAAAAAAAGGGAGCTTTTGTATTGGATAATGATCTGAACATGCATCGTCAACGGAATAAAAATAAAGCTTTTTATTTAAAAAGGAGAGCAGATTCCTAAAACACTACAATTTACTGAGAAATAATTATTTTTTTTATAGTACTTTCAATATTATGAATATAAAATTTTGATTTTTGGTTTGATACTGGAAAGAGCTCCTGTTCCACACTTTGACATTTGTAAGCAAAACATGTTATACTGCTTCACAAATGAGAGTAGATTTTCTTCTGGTTTTGAGCTAGAGGTTTGCACGAAGGTTTGGAATGAACACTACCCTAACCCTTCTCTCCAGCTGAAGTTGAAATCATTCAGTTCTTTGTATGTCAAAATATTTTCATTGCATCCAGTCTACGATTCTCCCTGCAGTTCATAAACTCTTGACAAAACTCTTGAAAAGTCAGTGAAGAAGATGGGAATGATGTTTTGTTCCTCGCTGTGCAGAAATGCCTAAGTATGTAGGACCATCAGTTGTCAAGTTTTCCTGACCCTTGAGTATTCTAGATCGATGTAGATGTGTAAGTGTATTGTGTCTGCTGATGTTATTACTGGCACCTTGTTCTCCTCTGTCTATTATAGAGCGGACAGTTTTCTGGCAGGTAATTATAATGAATGTTTTAGAGGTTGGTTAAGGTTTTTTGGGTTTGGCAGTCAATCTGGCAACATACTACATGGCCACTTGTTCATGAGCAGTATATTGTCATGAGAGAGCTTTGTGTTACATTCTGTTCTTGCACCTGTTTGAAAATGTCATCTTGGAATTAAGTGGGAATTAAGTTTTGTGAAGACATCTTGTTCCAGTCTTCTGGAACCATGGTTTTATTTGAACACTGAACCAGGTAAATACAACTGCCTGGTAACAGTTTTTGTAAAGTGCATTTCTGTACTTTGGTCTTTAGTATATGAATTAAAGTATAATTGTACCTTAACCTTATTTTATAAGTCTGTTTCTTTTTTTTTTTGCTTTATTTTTTTTTGCTGATGTTTACATTTATGTAATTTTGGATTGTATTGAAAAATGAACATTTATTTACAGGGTGTCATTTCAGTAAGTGTTTAAGTCAGTAAGTCTGACAATACAAAAATTGGGTATGTCTGGTATTCTGCTTATCACAATCAGTTAAATGGTAAAGACTCTTTTCACACAATTTCACCTGTAGAAAAATGTGATAAGCGTAATTACTTAAATTGCAGCTGTAGTTTACTATAGTATTAATTTACTATCCGTTATGAAGAAAAAGTAAACCTCTGTTCTCTGCAGTAAAAATGAACTTTTGCAAGGCAGGCCAACACCCAGACTACAGACTCAAGTTACCATTCTGGTAAAGGAAACCAACATTTCAGTCACGCATGAATAACCATTTGGAATTACTCAATGGTGTCGCTCTTGATTGGTCAAAGTTACCATTGTCCTGATGTAACAAGCTTTACTGTGGCAACCCCAAGCATCAGTGTACCAGTTCTCCCAGGGACCAGCGCAGCTATGTCAACAGGTCCTTATGGCAGGACAAGCGAAGCCCCCTGACCACAACAGGTGGAAATTACTGTGATCAGTGGAAAGTATCAGGCAGAATATAAATCATGACATAAATTTAAACTATTCAACTGATGATGAATGTATATTAATAAAAAATTACTGAACAACTGTGCACATTCCACAGCACTTGAGTCCTGTCTGCGACACAGTGTGTTCTGATATGTCCCTGACATACGGGAACCATGATGAATGCAAGCGAAATCCAAGTGCAGGTGCTCAGTCTGTTGGCACAGAGGGGTTATCCTCTGCCTTGGGAGTGCTGATATCCATGATCAGAGCAAGAGGCCAGGACTAAATCCCAGCAGGGGCAGGGAGGGCTGCATCCATCGCACACGCTTGACAGAACCACTGGGAATCTTAAATTTCCCCTCAAAGACAAACACCACCCCCACCAACACTCACACAGCACACTACATCTGGTGTGTCAGGTTAACATGGCCATCTTCAAGCCTCAAGCTCTGCCAACAGAACTGACTTTAGACTAAATGCTTTGAAGGCGAATGTGGACGAAACGAGAGCTGATCTGTGCTGTTTGAACAGGTATGATGCGTGCCATTTAGTTGAACTGTTTAACACGGGGATTAAGTCTCCCCACCAGCACTCTGCCAGTAATAAACTGACTCCTGACTTTCGGCAGATCTCACTTGACACTACAGCAATTGGTGCGAACATATCATTGACCCCCTGTCATAACTAACATAGCAGTTGCTGAAAACAAGGAACATCAAGAACTTAAATTCTGAGACCATATAAACACATTACACTTCCCCCACAATACTGTCAGCTGTGCACAATCCTATAATGAATTATAGCAATGGTTTTATACGTAGGATATATATGTAATAACACAGCACTCGATTTCCAGGCAGGTACTGGAATCAAGGTGCAGGCTAGTGCATAGCGAGCAAAGGCAAGGGTGGACATAAACCAGGAGAGGAAGAGGGACAGCATGGGGCAGAATCGAAAGGAGGATCCCAAACAGAGCCAGACAGATGAGCTACAGTACGTAGCCGGGGGGTCACGATGCAAACAAGCCGGAGGAGATCCGGGAACTTGGTCAGGAATATGGAATATGCGAAGCAGAGCGCAGCAGTGCAAAGTGGAGACTCTCAGGGAAAACTCGATGACAGAACGCCGCACAGGGGTTCAGTCAGGACTTAATACCACCAAGATTAACTAGGTAATTGCCCATGAATTAGAGGCAGGGGATACTGACAGCAGCCTATGCTGCATTCGGACAGCCCCAGCGGATGTATCCGACCTCGTGGAGATGCTGGAGTGCAAGCCAACATTTGAGCAGGTATTAATATAATGAACATATGAAACAAACATTCCATGTAAATTATGACATCCATCTGAAACTATCCTTTGTTTCATTTCCAAATGATCAATTTAGACAAGAATAAAATACATCTCATTTCCTAAAGGTCTAACTAACTACTTTCATTGAACATACAACAGGTGAAGTAAAGTAATCAAATGGCAGGGAAATGATCAAATTTTCAGTCTGCTCCACTGCATTCTCCACCCAGCTCTGCCACCATGCTTCTGTGCATTTGGATTCAAATGTGATTAAGATGCATTTGCAAAAGCAGAAAATGAGTTATAATTGAGTGGCTGGGCCCACAATCCTATTTCCTTTGGCAGTTTAACAAAGGCAGAGGTAACTCGGAGTATTTCACCCCAGCATGTATATACCAGCACATGGTTTTCAATAGAAAGTCCTATTGTTGCTGAATCTCACAGGTCTCCTTTTCCTCTTAATTACTGCAGGAGGGCCTAGGGACTTCCTGCCTGACTGAGACGTATCTGTGTGAAAGATGGCGATCAGAGAATGAATACACACCTAGGATTAAGGAATAATGGTATGAAAACTAAAAACGTTTTCTTTTTTTCTCTTTCTCGTTTATGGAAAGTGATACAGATAGCACCAGGGGAGGAGCAAAGGTCATGGCCATTAGTAGTTAAATGAAATTGAGCTCAGTGTAAATTTCAGGAACCCACTCAGGTCCCAGAGGGGCCAACATCTCTCCTCCATCCCCTCCCTCGGTCAGACAAGCTCCTCTTTCACAGCAGGCAGAGAATGGAGGGTGTAACTCCCCGTCACAAAAACTTGAATTGTACTCAAGTCAGGCTTTTTCTTTCCCCCCCAAAATAAAGGAAACTTTAACTCGTGAGGAGAACGGGTTTTTATTTACCAAACAAAAACCCCCATTCACCACTCACCTGAAACTTCTTTTTGGCGACAAAGTACTGCATCCGGCGAATGACCCGAATGGCTGCTCGGTGAGGCTCTCTCAGTCTGTGGGAAAGAGAGAGAGGCAGGTGAAGGCAGTTGAAAACAGAGCCTGGCACTGCAGACAAAGCACTGTGGACAAACAAAACAGGGCTTTTCTACCCAACGTGCACTTTTCTTTACTTTTACCTGAGTTAGAATTCACTGTGCTCTGCAGCTCCCATATCTATGCATTTATAGGACCGCAAGACAGAAAAAAATCTGAAAAATATTCTTCTTTCAGAGAAGATGAACGACATTAACCATCGCTGTTCTTCAGGATGTGTTAAATGGTCTTTTACACAGTTTATTCCCTTATTTTAAAATATAATGCTGAATTTAATGCTCCTAAACTCTTTGGTTCTTTATTTGGGGGTTTAGACTCTTTAGTCATTAAGCAAGGTTGAACTATTTAAGTCATTTTATAACAAATGTGTCACTCAAAACATCTACAATTAAAAGGTAATCATTAGTCTTCCTTAATTTTTGTTTGCAAAATATAATGTTTAAAGCTGATATTTAATTTTTGCCTTTGCACTTACTCTAATGCCTGCATGAAGCAGTTAGCATAAACTATGGAACTAAAAAAGGATAACAGTACTTTCATGAACAGAATTAACAGAATGTTTCATAAAAAAATACCTCTACAAATCCAAGATGTTCAGAATTATCCTCTCATTTCTCTTTAAAGTTTCACAATTGTAACTCTGAATTTCACCCACTACTCATGTTGGAAACACTGTTGCCCAAACTTAGCTGAAATTCATGATTAATTACCAAACAAATCCATCAAAGTAGTAAAAGTCTCAGGCAGTCAACAGAACTGTCCCTGGGGGGCCTCAGACTTGCAGTCAAGGTGTCTCTATTGCAACATCTGGTGACAGAGATATTGGAGACTACTGGAATCGCGCCAGCAAGTTCATATTTAATCAAATCTTTCATCATTTGCACTGCAGAGGCCTTCAGCTTACAATTTACTACCGTCTGAGGTGATTTCTTGTCTTTTCACACATTCTTTTATCACTGAGGCCTGGCCACAAATGTCACTGTGAGGTTTTAACTCTGCAAGCTTAAAATGGATCAGGTTGCATGTCAGGGGTTTCAATAATAGAATCTGGTGGCAAGAGACACAAAATGTCTGAAATTACCCTGCCATTAAATAATGACAAAGGGCCATAGTCATGCATCCGGGCAACGTGTTGAATATGCAAGACATTTCAGGGTTTTCATTTTTTGTGGGCAAAGTGAGGGAATAATAGTTTCTTTTCTTGTCTAGAAAGTAAATTGACTCACTTCCCCCTGAATGTCTATAATGAAGTTAAAACAAAGGAAGAGACTACTCATAAGGATACTTGCCTGAACCTGCTGTAAATAGTGCTTTTCCTTGGAAAGTTTGTTTTCAAACATGTCGTTAAATATATACGTTCTTCCATTTTCAAGAAATGCCCCCTGTGCAGGGTGTGCCTGAAGTAAAGCCCTGTTAGTATGTTACTCTTCATTTCCAAGAGCATTAACAATATTAAGCAGGGGTTTTGCAGAAAAACAACCACTGCTTCGTAGTGGTGCAAGGCTCTAGTTTTATCCTCTGGTGGCCTTATTTTTCAAAGTCAACTTGAGGTAATTAAGTTTTCCTATAAACTGTAAACAGCATGTATTAATTAGCGTTAGTCCTCAGTTTATCCCCAGAAAAGAGAATGGCATTACTTTGAGTGGGAGCCTCTGTGGAGAAATGTTATTGAAATGCTGTGTTAAAAATGTGGTTCAAGCTAAATTCCATAAACAATATCCTGATTTTGAGCTCTCCTTTGAAGCACAATAATCTGTTAAAAGAAAATGCAGTAATGCATGAATCACTTATTCACCTGTCAAAACAAAACCACTTAGGATGAGCCTAGTAATTTACAAACTAATTATAAGTGAATTCAACTGTTTTTGGAGTTTCGCTTTCTGATATTTAGGTTGATTCCACCTCCTTGACTTCAAGGCATGAAGTTCACCACATACAGTTTAGTTCACCACAATATCCAGCCACGTATATATAGTAGCCTAAGAAAAAAAATAGATCTGAAAATAGTTGCTGTTGGCAGTACAAATTAAAAAATCTAAATAAAATTTTGGCCGTATCTTTGCCATATTTGCTGAATTTGTACACTGGACATTTAGCCTGGTTCAAAACCATATCCATCTACTGCTTGTCAAACTACACACAGACACTACAATGGAAAGGCCACAGTTCAGTTATTCTGAATGTTTGATATAAACAAAAAGAATGAACAGTATTAAGACAAAAAAGAGGATTCTACCCAGGTTCTCTGGCTGATATTTTTTCTAGACTCATCAGTTGCACAGAAACACAATTATGAATGTGCTGGCAGCAGTGCTCTAGGTGAACACGGACAGGGATAATTATATATAACCAGACTGCCACTGTGCTGCAGCGGCCTGGCTCCACACTGGCAGGGCAGCCAGACAAAACCACTTAAGGCACAGACCCCGTCATTCATTAGACAACGAGATTGCTATGACAACACAGGGGTCATCAGAGAAAAACACAGCAAAAATGTGGGGCCATCTATAGGACTCAGCTGTTGGAAGGAAAATGCTGGATTGATGGCTCTAATATCATTTACTTAATTTTTCTCCTTTTTTTTGGACCATTTTATGTAAACCTTATCTGCAGCATTCCTGATTAACATTTTGACCCCATGGACTCCATCACTGTACTTTCTTAACTATTTAACTGAAAAGCCACTTTTTTGGCCAGAGATTCTCTGCAGGAAGTTGTAAGAAGATCCTGCATTGTGATTCCTAGTGCTGGAATTTAATTTAATAATGATCAATGTTATGGGGTTTCTACAATGTTAAGACTGATAATTTGTCTTTTAAACTGGTTTAAAATGTCTCTGAGTGTTTAAAATCAATTGAGTTAACTTACTGAAACAACAACAACCTTGCAGCCTGTCAGCCTGTCTCCAGACTTCTTTTTACTTGGGTATTTATATCCAATCAGCTTACGTTTGAACCTTTTTTGAAAATATAGGTGAAGTAACAGCTCCAATCAATCAAGTTTTTTGGAAAAGACTAAAACAAGAACCTGCCTTTTGATTACAAAATATCCAACTAAATCTGACCTATGGTGGTGATCTCAAAGGAAACTGATGGAACTACAGTTGTCACTTGCACAGCATTGTAATTTCCATATCCATGATTTTGTTTTGTTTGTTTTTAAGATCCTCACCCTTCTTCCTCACTTACTACTGGTCGTGTTGATTTCACAGGAGAGATGAGCTATGGTTTCATAGAAGAGCATCAGATGGAGGACAGGTTGGCTCTGTGCTTTAGCACATGCTGTGCTGTTGTGGAGGAAGTGTCTCCTGCAAGTCTCCTGCAAGGCTCTCAGCACTTCCAATCCAAACAACAGCAAATGAAAGAAGTGGGAACAGCAGAAACAGCTTGTTGTGGATCAAGGCAGCCACTTGGGACCACTGGTTCTGCTAGGAAGCACAACCCAGACTGGCCTCACTGGCCATCTCCAGACCCCATATAAGACAATCCTTCTCAGCTGTGAGGGATGCCAGGAGAGTGCTGCCCCTTACAGAACTGCAGTCTTTACTCTGCAACTTCCATCTTGTGACCCAAGTAACAGCCTTCTCTGCCGTGTGAATTTGATCAATCTCCTATAATCAATCTGAGCAGTGCTTTTGCAGAAAAGATCTGTGCTGGAACAGTGGCTTAGCATTTCAAATCCTCAGATATTCCATCCATCCAAATATACATCCATGCATTATTTGCCTCCCTTGCTACATCAAAATCCTCGCCCCACTCTGAAAGCAGGAATGGCAAATACATGGGCAACAAACCAGATGCTTAAAATTCTAAGTAAAAATGTCATTTATTTACCCCCAGCTAGAACTTCATTCATATGGAAAGTTTTGCCACTTCCTAAAAAATTCTTTTTCCACTTCATGACAGAAAAATCCAATTTTATAAATGAACACCAATTTTGACTGATTTTTTTTCTTTCCAATTCTACTTAGTGCCAGATTTTAAATGACCAAAGTTGATCAGAATCCAGGCCTGATAATGATGTTATACTGCCAGTTCTTAAGCATTGTGTATGATGTACACAGCCTATGAATAAGACAGTGCTGTTCTGTAGATTAAGGCTTGCTATTTTCATAAATTAGATCTTGAAGTTGCATAAACAGCTCAGATAAACATGGGTCTGTGGGCTATTAATCTTTTTTATTCAGACCCAGAAATCAAAACTTGTCATGAGAGAAAGCTGAAATTAGAGAAAAGTATCTGACTTTAGCACATTGTTGCACTTTTCAGAATCACGACCAATCTAGCTGTGAAATCTTAGTGTGCACAGTGTTTTGCTTGTCAAAGTGGCGAATAAGGGACACTGACAAGGGACAAAAACATAGAGAGGAGACATTTATTTTTAGGGTCATTTTAGAAACAGGGCAGAGGCTTACAGAGAATACCTTAAGAAAGGAATACACCTCCAGACCTTATATCCTTTCATTGTCCAGCACAGAAAAGTCAGCTGAAAAAAAAAGCAAAAGCAAAACAAGATTTGAAACTTGAAATGTTTTTGCTTGGATAAATCGTTTCTAACGGTTGGATTCTCTCTTGAGATTTAGATTTTGGGGAGGCAAAGACTGTCTTGTAAATCACAGCAGCAATGTGACCCGGGAATCTAAGAACTCAGAATGATGGCTCCTACACCACTCAGCATAGAAGAAATATGAAGCTTTTTTCTTTTTTCTTGTACTTGGCACAGTGAACTCTAATCCTGAACGTGAAACAGAACAGCAGAAATGTGTCTCACTGATCATATCGTTACTGGAATATTGAAACCAGTTTCTAAAAAAACTATTTACTTAAATTAATCCTTAAAGTTAATGTAAACCTCCAGAATATTTGTAACTTAACCATGATATCTATGCATATACTGTATATGTATGTATATTTCATTCTCCTTAATGTCAATCTAATAAACAATGAGGCTTTTAAGAAGT